TGCTTCCACTCCTGCGGAGGCCAGCCTCCGCCCCCCACTCCCCTACTCCGACGCTGCACCCGCTCGCGCTCCCGGGATTCCGGACCCCGGCGGGTGCGAAAGGAAGCGGGTTATGACTGTGCGCGCAAGAGACTCTTCTGCAGGGAGCGCCCTGCGCAGCCTCTCCGCTTGGGTAGGACGTTCTTCGATCCACCCCGAGAAGGGCTGCGCCCAAGCCAGAAACCCCACAAAGAGTCGGAAGGAGGGGTGAGCGCAGAAAACCCTTCCCTCCGAAACTGGGGAGCTTTCGGACCCCGAAAGGGCTTGTGGGTTTGGTCACCCCTGGAGCCACTCTGCCAGCCCGAGGGCAGAACTGTGACCTCGGAGGAAGGGGCGCTGCAGCCCTTTGATCAGGAAGAGGCTTTGTCTTAACCCCCAGCCCCCCTCTGCCTGTCCTCGCCGGGTCAGTAGCGCGTGGAGTAATTAATATTCCGAGCATTGGCCTGGCCTTCGCTTTGGCACCAGCACACACTGCTGTCCCCTCCCTCCCCGATGGTCTCCTCTGTCACTTGCTCACATTCCCTTCTTCAAAAAAAAGAGAGAGAGAGAGAAAGAAAAGTGGTGCAGACTCGCTAGGCGGGAGGGATCACTAAAAGCAACGCAGCGCTCAGGCGGTGTAAAATCAAGGGTTAAGTGCTCAAACCCGCGCGGAGACGGAAGAACTTTCTTGATTAGCATAGTATCGGCCCCGGGGCCGCGCGGTCGGGCGGAGGTTCGGTCCCAGCCTAGGTGAAGCGTGCAGTCAGGTCTTGACTGAGGTCAGACGCAGCACCTGCTTCTAATCGGAGGACCCGCGGCTTACGTCTTTGCCGAACAGGACAGTGTGGGATGAAACAGACCAAAGATCAAAAGGTAACCCGGAGGAATAGTAACATCGGAGATGCTTCTCTTGGACATGACTTTTGGCAAAGTTTTTAGCAAACAAAGGAGGAAACAGTCCTTGGTGAGCCGGTGTCCCCTCCGGAAGCCTGCCCTTGCTTTTTTCTGCTCATCTAATTAAAGACAGCAGTTAGGGGTGATGTTGTCAGTAGGTCTCTAAGACAGAGGCTTGGTAAATTGATTAAGTTGTTCTGGCCTAGGGAGAGCTATGCTGGTTCTCAAGCTTTGCTGCATATTAGAATCACCTGGAGAGCTTTGACAAACCCTGACGTCCTGATCACATTCCAAATCATTGAAACCAAAGCAGTGAGAATTAGGCATCAGTAGTATTTAAAAGCAAAAACCCCAAACTCCAGGCGATTTCATGGTGCAGCACAGTTTGGAAACCCTAATGGCAAAGGAAGAGTTTGGACCCCAGCAGGGCAGTCGTTGCAAGACAAAAAAAAAAAAGCCAGCTTAACGACTAGGGTGGGTGAGAGAAAAGTCGCTGAAGCTGCGGGGGCTGATGACTAACGCCCTGGGGCGGGGGACCGTCATCTGGCAGCCTGGCCCGGTGGCGGTGACAATTACCACATCATTTTTCCCTTCCCTGCCTAGGGTCTGTCTCTTGTGGTCATTGCCTGGTTTCTGCGCTGTTGTTAGGGGAGACGGGTAGAAACTTTTCTTCCTGCGATGACTCATGTGTCGCAGGCAGTAGGGAAACCCAGCAGAAACAAACTCCACAGCCTGGTGAGTCAGCAAGCTGCACCCCACAGCGATCCCAGCGAATCGAAGTAATTACATCGAGTCGCACATCCTCCGCTCCTTTGAAAGCACATTTTCATATCTGAGCAGGATCTGTTTGCTGGCAGGAGCCGCTCCCTTTTCCAACACCCCTTTCTACCTGCTTCACAGAATGCTCTCTCCTGTGGGAAGAGGGAACAACAAAGCCAACTAACACCTTGTGGCGTCCTTGGTGGGCAGGATATTTTAAAAAAAAAAAAATGTTGGGAAAGTGTAAACTGGTTTGGTTTATTTCAGTAACTCGAAGTAGAAAGGGTGAATTTGCACTCTAATGCTGTTTGATTATATATTCAGGGGTGAATTAAAGGATGTATTTCAATAGAAATGGTTACACCTAACATTGTACATACAATGTTATGCTCACTCTTGACCATGGGTTTCTTGCTTTAAAAAAAAAAAAAAAGTCATCCCCAAGGGATGACTCTAAGAACACCAGTCTAACAATGCCCACAAAGTTTATTAAATAAACTTATTTTTTCTCGTTATTACTATTACCTAGTTTTTAGACCTCTCCTGTTTTCATCATTCTTGATGTAACCATCTCTCTGCCATTGCCTAAAAATGCTTTCTTCCCTGTGCTCAGTTTATTTAAGGGGGAGCAGCAGTGCCTTGCACACAGCGAGCAATCAATACTGTCAGCCATTGAACTTCATCTGAACCTCTTACAGCTCCTATCATAGCCTGCTTGCTACTCTGTGATCTCTTAGGGGCCTTTATGTCTGCAATCCCCATAGCACAGAACACATGACTCTGAGTTAGAGATACCGCTTGTCTGCACTGAAGATTATCAAAAGGTGGAGTCAACATTGGGAAACAAGGCATCCTGAATATATTCAGCTTTGTTATTTTCCAGGACATTCCAGATATGTAGAAGCCAAAATTCGGTTACAAGTCTTAAATGCTATAAAATGATAGCACGTTTGTACCACATTGTTATACAAAACAGTTGAGCATCTTGAGCTTAACTAATCATTGTTGTAGCATTTAACCACATTCCTATGGGCCAAAGATTCACTTCACGAAAGTTCACTCTCTGCCTATTATAATAAAAAAAAAAATCCAAATGTCCAGCTATGTGGTTGTCTAAAGAAATTCATTAAGCTAGGATAGGTATTACAAAATAGGTTAATACTTAAACAGCTTTTATTGTCATCTGCCTGCTGCTCTCATTAAAATAGCACAAGTACACTTAAATGGCCAGAATATTTAAAAGTGGGAAGTTGGACATATTCTTTGACAGATACCACCAAAAATAAATGTTAACAAGAATTTCCAAAGGCCAAAATGATGTAAGTGCATTTATTTTCACTTCTGTGTAACTTAGAAAAGGGTTAGGGAGGCACTTCTGAAAGGTCAACCCCTTTTGGGGGGAGGTATAAGATATTGAAAGGTTAAAAGTGGTCTAGAAAAAATAGGACTCATCAGATTACTCCGTATTTATTAGTCAGAAACTGTTTATCAGAAGATGGTATATACCCAGCTCTGTAATATTTACAAGTAGGCCAAAAGGGGTGGGGTAGAAAGGGTGTCATCTCAATTTTATAAGCTCTAGTGTTTGAGAACCTGTGAGAACAACCCTGTCTTATTACCTTAGATTTATATGACCTTTTGGTGTTATTAACATATCAGGGCCTAAACATAATTAGGTGACTGGTATTCCCAGGTGCCAAACTGCACAAGTGAATGCAAAGAGTTTTGTGATCCTGGCAAGGCCAAGGCTAGAACACGGGATTATTGACTCCTTTTCCAGTGTCTATTACATCACATAGGTTTTGATGTAGTCTTGCCTGGAGGCTTTGGCTAGACAAGACCAGTTTTCATTAATGCCTCTCTCCTTAAAACAGTAGAAACTGTCATGCTTTCAGTGATTTTATACTTAAGTAATTGACTTCTGGCTAGGTAACCCCAAATAATCTGAGACATCTTTAACTCTTATTAGGGGCCCTTAAAGGTTACTCCCAACATCCAAAGAAATCGTAAATGCCTTGTACATGTTCACTAAGAAGTCCTCCAATATGTGCATGAATGTCTTCCTTGAAGCACATTCTAATCATGGGAAGCACTGTTTGCAGCATTCAACTGTTGGAGGCCACAAGTAATTCTCTTACATAATTCATCTGCAACCATCTTCAGCATTCAAAAGGGATTTATTCTCCCTAATCTGGAATAAGGAAAAATCTGGCTTTGGTTTTTTGGTTTTGTCTTGTTTTCTTGTTTGTTTTGGTTGGGGGTGGGAGTCTTACTCTTGTTCTGTTGCCCAGGTCGTGCAGTGGCATGATCATAGCTCACTGCAGCCTTGACATCCCAGGCTCAGGCCTTCCCTCTGCCACAGCCTTTCAAGTAGCTGGGGCTACAGGCGCTTTTAAATTTTTTTTGTAGAGACAAGGTCTCAAACTCTTGGTCTCAAACAATCCTCCCACCTCAGCCTCCTCAAATGCTGGGATTCCAGGTATAAGTCCCTGTGCCTGGCCTTGGCTTTGGTATTTCAAATCTCTCAATTCTGCAAAACTTTTGCTCCAAATTTGAGAAGCATTCAAAATTATGTTTTTTATTCAAAATGTTGTTTAAATTATGTTTACGCCAGAAACTTATAGAAGTACTGGTGAATTTGCTTCCAACAAATCTAATCTAATAATCTACACACTTCAAAAACAACTTTTAGCAATACATCATACAATTACATTAAGCTTGTGTTGGGCTGAAACCTTTGGCTCCATCTGTTTCTGGAATCCACAAACTGAGATCTACGGTTTTTGTATGTATGACCTTAGAGCTAAGATCAGTTTTTATATTTTTTAATGATTGAAAAAATATCCAGCTGGGCTCGGTGGCTCAGCCTGTAATCCTGCGCCTTTGGGAGGCTGAGGTGAGTGGATTGCCTGAGCCCGCGGGTTCGAGACCCGCCTGGGCAGCAAGACCTCATCTCTAC